CTAAACTGTTTCTCAAGCGCTCTCTCATCACCGCTGCTGCGTGAATATCACGCATCACAACACCACGGACAGAGACCCGAGGTAAAACTGGGATTGAAGTCCAAAACCTGACTTGAAATAACCTAACAAATCAATCGGGGCTAAAGCGGTTCCATTAACGACAAATTAAATTCACACAATCTCACTAATTTGTGCACGCTTATTCTTAAGCAGACCTTAATGTCGATCATGGATCAAATCGATCCACCATGACAAACAGCAAATATATTTGTGCTGTTTAATGCATTTGAGACATTGTGTTTTCCTCAGTGCATAACTGACATGTCACAGACACACATGCTAAAATAACAACAACTTACTGACACATAGTAAGAAATGGTTATAAAAAACTGAAACAGAAGTGAAACAAGTAGTAGGAAAGAGGAGAAATAAAAAGCTTTATTTCTTATCCTTTGCCGGTGTCCTGCCCGGTGGAGTCGCACGCTAGAGTCGATGCTCTTTACACTCTTCGGTCTTACCACGACCGCTTCCGTGATAAAATAAGCTTCTTTTTTATTCCTTTAACAAATCTCAAATTGAATTCAGCTGGACACACTTTCCTGTTTATCACAACAAATGGCCAAGCAAAGCGCACGACACTGACAAGGTACGCGATACAGTACGAGACCAAACGCGATTTCAGCACGTCTCCTAAACAAAACAAGCGTTTCCTAGCAACGACAACTGCGCTAAACACTGAGACAAGAAATAAATACACTTACAAGCTGCTTTTAACTTCAATTTAAATTTAGATTAAATTTAAATGTAGTCATTTTCTTTATTATTTATTTTAATTTTTAATTCAGTGATTTTAACTTTTAATTTAGTTATTTTAATGCTTTAAAGAGCAATTTTAGATTGTAATGTTCTGCTATCTGTTCTGCAAACTATAAAAGGTACAGCTGTAATAAAACCAGAGAGAAAGGCTGCATGGCTAGAAACTGTAAAAACAATAAAAGTCAAATAATAGTATGTGAGACAGTGGTAATATCATTATGTTCCTATTGGTCAGTAGAGGAGCTTAGCTTAGCCTGACAGTTAGCCTGCTTTAGACCAGGTTAGTTTCCCAGCATAAGTTGCCATAGTGACTAAGCTTGATCTATTATAGGCCCATGTTAAATTTGCTTTATGGAACCAAATCATTTGACAATGAGTCAAACTAACTGAAATAAGCCTGGCTTATTTGGTTAACTTGTTTTATGAAACAGGCCTCGAGGCATTAAAAGTGATCATATTTTCTCCATTGTATCATATTGCATCGAATCGCATTGTGTTGAATCGAATCGGATCACAGTGCATCGTAATAGGGGTGAATCGTATCGCATCGGTAGCTGCTTCATATGTATCTTTAATGTATCGTATCGTATCGGCCTGAGTCATGATGCACATCCCTAATATCTATCTTGTTGCATTTTCTGAAGATCTCCTCCAGGCATGAGAGAATCTCATCCTCAATGGTGCAGTGAGACAATGCTCACTTAAAGGGTCATGAACTGCATTTTTCTAATATTATAATGTTTCCTGATGTGCACTTATAATTTTAGTAGGATTTTTTACTTTACTAAACACTGTCATAATTTAGAAATGAATAGGAATTTTCTGCCTTGATTTCACCCCTCTGTAAATGCCCACTGCTGTCATTGGGTAATATGATTGCATATTAAAAAGTTTTTAATGTGGAACTCTTGAAAACTTTTACTACAATTTTACTATTACAGCTGCCGATTTAATCGTGAAAAGTGTTGATTACTGCATTATACCTGTTCTCTCGTTGCATTAAGGACTTTTAGTAAAAGTGCAAAACACAAACCATTGAATATTTTACTGCATTATTGTTGAGCCATGTTTTTTCATAAAAGTCTGTTTGCAAAGCATGTGTCAAATTGTGACTGGTTTACCAAAGAAACCACAAACAAATAATGCTCTACTGAGACTTTCACATAGCTGAAAACAAACACTTTCCCAACATTAGGATCTTTGGAAAGTAATGTTATTTTATAGGCAAGTGATCCTGTTTTAAAGAAGGAAATTAGCATGTAAAGCTGTGGAAAGGTGGGAGGGTATTTCATTGTTTATGCATACATTGTAACTGTAGTGTAAATGCATTCATGTCATCTCTGAGCTGCATTAAACAGTCTTATGTTGGATGGATTTTGTCGATACTTATTTTATTTGATTGCTTACAGCCTATACTGTCTTAATATCATAAATGTGTTTATTAAAAGATGTTAGGATTTACATGAAAGGGGATGCTTACATTTGAAAAGGTTAGAAAAGCTGGTTAAAGGTTAAAAATGCCATGGAAGTCACTTTAAGGGGGCAAATAGCACCCTGTAGTGGAAAAGTTCATTTCTATCACTGTTAGGATAGTTTTTATCCTGGATTCACTGAATCTTGCAAAGTGTCCTTCTTTCTGGCAACATTAAGTGACTCAAAACTGGAAGAAATCCCATGCAGTGTGTATTCAGCTTTACTGTATGTTTGCTCGGTTTACATTCCATTTAACCTGTTTTAGTGGATTAGATCGGTTTATTTTAATTTATTATATCATCGCCCCAAAGCCACATTCGCTTCACCTCTGCCCTTAATATGATTTATAACGCACACATGATTGTGAACTTTTTTTCTTAGAGGCTATTGAACATTTAATCGCCAGCTACTATGCAAATATTCTGCTAGTGAACTGAATTTATGTGGTATGTTCAGCATAATTGTGGTTATAACTCCAGAAAACAAGACCCGTCACCAGCAGCCCCAGCGTGGCCTTTCTGTTTCCATTCAGAGCGAGTCTAAAACACACCCAGAACATCATTCCAAGCCTACAGAGTCAGTCTGCTTCATAATGCAGAGCTCAGCGTGCATGATCACATGGCTCTAGGTATCAAAAGAGCCCTGGGGATTTTTAAAACATATTTTTGGGTTTGTTGAGGGAAAACCCACTGAAAAGTATTTAGTAGTAGCCAACTGGAAAGCATCTGATGACCTTCAGTTGAATGTTTTGCTGTCTAAAAGCCTGTTCACACCGAGAATTAAATGCATCACAAATGAAAGATCTGTTCACTAAGAGAGAAATGAAAAGGCACTCTGCTCAGTCGTGTGCATTAATTATGTACACTCTCTCACTTTAGCATTTCACTTACTTTAACAGTGACACATGACAGCCTGAACATCAGCTGATGTTTTGGTCATAAAATCCTATTTGTTTTGTCTTTGCCTATGCATTCTACTGTATAGGGTGCCATTTCTGTCCAGTTTGTCTATTTAAAGCAAAGGTTCACCCAAAAAGGAAAGTCTGTCACCATACTGCATATTCATCTTAATGGCTTTATTTTCTCTGTAAATATGCATAAGCAAATGCATAAGCATGTTAAATCTGTGTAGAGGTGGATTCAGAAGCCATATTTACAGAAGGTGTTGGGCATCATATGCAGCAGTGTACTTCTCATTGCATTTTTGTCCAGTGATTGTAGAATCACCTCTGCATTTATTTGAGTTTGATATTAGTTGATATGGGCATTGTTAACTTGGACAGACTGATTTTGTCAGTGTATAGAGTTTTGTTTTCTTGTTTTCTAGGGATGTGCCACTAACAATAGATGAATCGTGATATTTGAGTCATGATATGATGCATATTACAATTTATGTTGTGCATACCTTGCCAGTGTTTTTTTTTTTTTTTTTTGCTGGTTTAATAACATATAGAACACTTTGTATGTGTGCAGCTATGCTACAGTAACATTCACCTCAGCACTGATAAAAAAACAAAAAAAAAACAAGGTTCTTTTTTAACGTTGCCATTATTGCACAATAGATTATTCAGGATATTGAGTGCATCCAGATATTTCTACGGACACACACCCCTGAACTACTGTGCAGTGTGGAGTTTCATGAAGAAGAGCCTGCATCAGAATGATCTCAAGTGTTGGAGGTGAAAGCAGGCGATGGATCAGAGACCCTGACACCAGTGACCTCACACAGATGGAGGGAGTGAGAGGGAGGAAAAGGGAGTGTTGTACACAGAGGCCTGAACAAACAGTGGAGGATGAGAAATTCCTCAAACAGTGCGCCGTGGGCCGGATGTTCTCGCTCCAGCAGAGCCGGGTGTGGTGGGATCTGTAAACACTGCTCTTTGATACGGGCTGATAGAGCTTCATATTACAGTACCACCACACCACTGCAATCCAGATCTCGGAGTAGTGTTTGTTTCTCTGTTATGTTGAAAAAATGTGTATGCAGTATATAGACTACCGGTCAAAAGTTCAGAAAAAATACAAAAAAAATTTAATGTTTTGAAAAAATATAGATTATGCTTACCAATGCTGATGAAAAATACAGTAAAACAGTAATATTGTGAAATTATTATTACAATTTCAAATAACTGTTTTCTATTTGAGTATATTGTTAAATGTAATTTATTTCTGTGATCAAAGCTGAATTTTCAGCATCATTACTCCAGTCTTCAGTGTCACATGATCTTCAGAAATCATTCTAATATGCTGATTTGCTGCTCAGTTATCAGTTATTAAAATCAGTTCTTATTATTATTAATGTTTTTGCTGCTTAATATTTATGGATTTTTTTCTTTGATGAATAAAAAGTAACATTCTAAATGTCTTTGTCACATTTGATCAATTTAATGCATCCTTGCTGAATACAAGTATTATTAGTAGTAGTAGTAGTATTAATCATACTTACCCAAACTTTTAAATGGTATATCATGGTGTCAACAAAAATATTTAACAGCACAATAAATGTTTCTTGAGCATTCAGCTTTGAGCAATAAATTATATTTTAACATACATTCACATAGAAAAGTTATTTTGAATTGTAATACTATTTCACAATATTACTGTTTTTAACTGTATTTTATTGAGCAGAAGACACTTCTATAAAAACATTAGAAATCGTAATTATTTCAAACTTTTGATCAGAATTCAAACCTATTTTCTTTTTCGTTACAGTGACCAATAAGAAGCCAGCGCAGGTGTTCCTCACGAAGGTGAAGCAGTTTGAAGGCTCCTCGTCTTTCGTCAGGAGATCACAGTGGACCATCAGTCAGCTGCGGCAGGTCAACGGCATCGACTCCGTCCGAGTGAGTAGATGTGCTCTTGCTCCTTCAGATGCTGTGTTCTGTTGGATGCCATTGATCTTTGACTGCCTCTCATCATCCAAAAATGTTCAGGATTGCCCAGAGTTTGACTTGATATTTGAGAACGGATTCGACCAGTGGACTGCGGGTTCAGCTGGAGAGAAGTGCGTGTTTGTCCAGGTCCTGCATCACACATGTCAGCGGTTCATCCCCGAAAGAAAACCAGACTTCATCAACTGCCACTCCAAACTGCTGGGAGGTGATACGTCCCGTTCAAGCTTACTGTGCAATCTCTTTCACTATACGCTACTTTTTTGGAGTTTTTAAAATAAAATTTTGGTAATACCTACAAAGAATTCCATCCCCGTCAGTCAGTCAATCAATCAATCAAATAGAGGGTCTATTGTATGCATTTGGCTCATAATTTTATATAGTGGCTGGTGAAACTATTGTTCTATTATTGCACTACTATACTGTAGTAACAAAAAACAACAGCTTTTTAAAATGTTACATTCTGTTTTCTTGTTTGGATGTTTGATTATTGCTAGAAAATCATCTTTTTAAAAATCCGATTTTCAAACTTTATTTAAAGGTCCAAAAATTTGGTAACATACTGCAAAAAAATCCCCACTCATATAATATTCATTTGTAGAGGTCGACCGATATGGGTTTTTCACTGGCCAATGCCAATGCCAATATTTAGAAATCAGGGAGCGGCCGATATATGATGCCAATTTTTTTGGCCGATATATTTGGCCGATATGTTTGACCAATATGTCATAAAAGTGAGTTTGAGTAAATGATTATTGCAGGGTACAAGATAGTAATAGTAGTAGTAGCCTAATTCTGAGTAATAATACATGGCTCAAAACTTAAGCACCTTCTCAAAACAGTTCTGAAGCATGCTTTTTGTTTATGTTTGCTGACAGACCCCAGTGTTTCCCACAGACTTGCAAATGCAAATTGATTCTCCGCCAGCAGGAGGCGCTGCTGGAGTGGGAGATATAGCTATGTCCCCGGTAACGGCTGTAATCAAATAAGCACTGCGCTCACAAACGCTACTTTATATAGTAGTAGTAGCCTAATTCAGAGTAATAATACATGGCTCAAAACTTAAGCACCTTCTCAAAACAGTTCTGAAGCATGCTTTTTGTTTATGTTTGCTGACAGACCCCAGTGTTTCCCACAGACTTGCAAATGCAAATTGATTCTCCGCCAGCAGGAGGCGCTGCTGGAGTGGGAGATATAGCTATGTCCCCGGTAACGGCTGTAATCAAATAAGCACTGCGCTCACAAACGCTACTTTATCAGGCATTACAGGAAAGACGAAATGAAAATGACATCGAAGCTTTTCTGAAGACGGTCGGTTCTTTTCAAAGATACATTCATGATTTTGAAACATGCAGTGCTCAGTTTATTCAATGAAGTATAAGCCTTTTGGAAAATCTATTTGTGGGGAGCCACCACAAATAACTCAATGTATGGGAAACACTGGACACTGCTATAAGCCAAATGGCCAAGTGATAACAAAAATAAAAGAGTTCACACATATTACACAGCCTGCTTCTCATAACTGCTTAAGAGTGCGCTGGCCACAAGAGATGACATCGTGGATGCTATTGTCAGACCTACACACACATTTCACATGGAAAGCTAACATGCACATTATAATCAGCCCAGATGTTTCATCTGAATTGCATGTGTTTCTAATTTCACATGTTGCACTTTCCGGCATCAATTCTAGTAGAGTAAAACGTAATTCTTTCGAAACGGTCTGTTTTGCCCTGCCATCATTAGCTGAAGCTGTGTGTGAACAAGAAGCAGCTGCAGAGTGTGAGCTGCTCCGTCTCACGCAGCCAGAGAGAGATTCTCCGGCGTTCCGCAATAACGATTAGCTGCCCGCAGATGCGCCTGCCTATAAATCGGCCTAATTTGCAGCACAATCGACCGATGCCGATTACTTAAAAAATGCCAAAAATCGGCCGATTAATCGGTCGACCTCTATTCATTTGTAAGTTGCTTTGGATAAAAGCGTCTGCTAAATGACTAAATGTAAATGTATAATATTTTTCCCAGTTGCAGGCAAACTGTTTGTGTAAAGTTCTTTATTATTCCACTGTATTTTCTGTAGGACAGAAAATCTGTTTTGTTCTGCTAATCATGAGAACTTTTAGCAAGTTTTTTTGTGTCTTTGATGTTTATAGCTTATAACTCATGGACATGATTAATGGAGGGTTTTCTTTTACTATAATTACCCTGACACTCACTTTATTTCAGATTCTTTTCTGTTTGGTGACATATTACTGGATGTAATTTAGAGGTGTAACAATACATTAATGTTCTCAATGCATCCTGCTTATGCAACTACAATAATCTTGACATATAACTTCTAAATAATTAAAATCAATTTAAAATGCCAAAAGATTCTCATTTCAAGTAGCTGACAATGATACATTTTTTTTGTAATAAATTAGGGTACATGTACTATAAAGGATTGCACATGTTTTTTTCTGCTGCCACCTTGTCTAACATTTTTAAGGTGCAGGCATTGATGTGGGGTTATATCTGTAGATTATTCACACATTTGTTTAATCAGGACTTGTTCTGCATTGCAGCAGCACCAATGCGAGCGCAGACCGTTCACGTTTGTATGCTACAATTAAAGTGTTGAAGGTGCTGATGCTATTTTAACTGTGTCCTGGGGGAAGCTTCCTCCTTCTCTTCCCTGCCACTTATTCCTCCCACTTAATAAATAACAGCTTTTAGTGTTGCTGCTTGTCTTTATTCTTTTAGTGGCAGTCTGACTCAGTGACTGTGTTACTGTGGGAAGCAGAGTTGAGGCTCCTGAGGGTCAGATGGCTGGTTCTGTTGCCTGGCAGAACTCAGTGAAGCTGAGCAAACATGAATACACCTGACTGTGAGCTTAAAGAGACATAATGATAATGGATATAAAGATATATAATGGTTTTTAGTCACGATCTAGCTCATATATTGAATAATTTCTTACAAAGATTTTATTTCCCAACCTTCAACCTTTAACATCCATGGAACTTTTCCGTTGCTCAAAAGGTTCTTTATAGTGGGAAAATAATATTTAGTTTGTCAAAATGTTCTTTACACTAAGAAACAAAAATAGTTATTTTAAGAAATGATCATTGAAAGGCGCTTTGGGGGACCAAACAGTGGACAAACAATTAAATATGCCTGTATATTTTAATTAAGTTTTAGCGTTTGTTTTTTGTTGTTGTTGTTGTTTTAGTTATTTTAGTACTTCAACTTTAAATAAAAATGACAAATGTTGCCTTGACAACTAGCTGAAATAAATTATTTAATTTTTTTATTTTTATTTAAGTCAATGTTTATTTTATTCAAGTAATGAATGTGTTTTTATGGTTTATGAAGGCATTTCAAAGTTTAAATTTAAAACTTTAAATGATCAGTCACATGATCTCAAAACATATAATGCATGAGCATATAGTAACAGTTTTTACGTCAACATTGGTCACTCTATAGTTAATGAGATCATGGAAGCGAGGAGGTCACTCTGGCCCCTCCGGTCTAAGTCTCACACCAGTGCAAAACAAATGTCGTGAAGCTGCTCAGGTGTGGGACGAAAACTGTGGGGATCCATGTCACCGCTGGTTCAGCTTCATTATTAAGCGCCATGGACAGACGCTGGATAGAATAAATGACATGTTGTGCTCACAATGGGCTTTTTATAATGCTGGACACATTTGCACATCCTGTAATGGAAAATCTTGTGCCACCATGTTTTTTCCACCATTAGGATGTAATTTTCAGGATAATTTCTGCATGATTTTTAGCTCAGCATTGTGCCGTAGCTCTCTTGAAATCTCTCTAGATTAATATATTGTCAGTGGAAATGCACCGGTTTGTGTCTCAGTCTCAGTCATTCTGCCCTGGAAGTGCTTAAGTGAATATGCATTTGTGGCATGGAGCACAAAACCAGTCATAAGTAATACGGGTATATTTGTAGCAATAGCCAACAATATGTGTCAAAATTACTGATTTTTCTTTTATGCCAAAAATTATTAGGATATTGAGATCATGTTCCATGAAGATATTTAGTAAATTTTCTACCGTACATATATCAAAACTTAATTTTTGATTAGTAATATGCATTGCTAAGAATTTCATTTGGACAACTTTAAAGATGATTTTCTCAATATTTTGATTTTTTTGCACCCTCAGATTCCAGATTTTCAAATAGTTGTATCTCAGCCAAATATTGTCCTATCCTAACAAACCATACATGAATGGAAAGATTATTTATTCAGCTTTCAGATTATGTATAAATCTCAATTTCATAAAATTGACCCTTATGACTGGTTTTGTGCTCCAGGGTCACATTTGTATTAGGAGTGTAACGGTACAAATATTCGTACCAAGAATTTTTGGTACAGGTCTTTCAGTTCAGTACGCATGTGTACCGAACAAATACAGCATCGTTTTAAACACTGCATGAGTGGAACTTTATTGGAAACTTCCAGTTGTATATATTGTTTCTTTTGATAAGAAACAAAGTATCATCTTTCAAATGATTCAAAAATTCAAACAATAAATGTAGTTTTGGCGCTCTTTGATGTGGCGTGACAGATCGCTGTATAAACACCTCAGTTCAGCACGATCTTTACTACTACATTTAACGCAAAATAAATATGAATACAATTTTAATTCGAATTTAATTTATTTAAAGAAAGAGCCATTTGTTCAGTAAACCACTGTTTAATTAAGAACAAAAAGCAAATTTATGTTTAGTTTTTTCCCCTGCTGTATCGAAACCACACCGAACCGTGACCTCAGAACCGAGGCATGTACCGAACTGTCATATTTGTGTATCGTTACATCCCTAATTTGTAGTGTACCTAAAATCTTAAAAGTATATTTTAAAGAAACTGTTCTTGCAGATAATATAATATAAACAAAATAAAAGGCCACTCAATATGTAAGATTTTTTTATTAAAATATCCAAAAACCACTAGAACAGTGTTATATATTTTGCTGACTTGTGTACTTACATTATCCCAAATGTTTCGAAGAATGTTTAAATCCAGAGAAATAAGCAATTTTAGCTAGTGACACGGAGCGTGTCTATAGTGTCATTGTGTCGCCTGAAGTCATAACCCCTCGATTTCGGGTTTTGTTTTGTAGAAAACATGGAAACACCAAAGACGCTTTAATATGTTGTGCATTTTAATAGACCGGTGACGAGCGCACAGAGCAGCATTATAACAGAACTAAATGTATCTAGTATGATAAAACAGCGCTGCTTTACCCCACATACGCACGACCAGAAGCAGAGGAAGCGGTCGACTGTGGCATAATAAAAGCTCCGCTGCTTTCGAGCCGTGTGTCACGCTCGTTCAGCGCCTCGTTTCGCTTCGATGGCTTTCAGCCTCACTCTGCTTCATTCTACTACGTTCATAAATCATTAGCTCATCCATGAACATGATTTCTGCCTGAGTCCCGTCGGATTGCTTCGGCTGCGGGGATGAAGACCACAACTCCCATGATTCCACACTCAGTCACGGAGTCATCTAACCACGCCTTTGTCTCTTTGTTTGTTTTGAATATGCGCCCTCTAGTGGCGAAAATTACATATTGTGCCTTTAAGTGTAAAGAGAGACACTTTCATGACTATGTTTCTTAACATACTTTAAAAAGTGCACTTTGTAATAATATAAAATTAAAAGTTTATCTTTAAAGTACATTTTAAATCATGTTTAAATAATCTTTTGTCATGCTATAAAGAAGTAGTGTAGAGTGGGGGAAAACGCCCCCCTACTGTTTTTCCCAAAATAACCACAAGATAAAGTCAAGATAAATTTGTATTGTAACTGTGGACTACGTTGACGAGAGAGATGTAGAAGTTTTCACCATGAAGCTTACACTGGTGATGAAAACCGATTTCACACTAAATGATCTAATTTTCAACAGTAAGAAAAAAAGTTTTAAAGTTTGTTTTGTAGAACATCACAGTTATATATGATATGAGAAAAGTAGGGCCTGTAGATAGGGAGTATGTGTTATTTAATAAAAATATAAGTATATTTTCAGAATGACATATATTTTTTTTTTTTTTCAAACATAGTCTGTTGAGTAAAATGCCCTGAGGGGGCAATGGGCAATTACTGTAGTTATTCTGTTCTGAACATCAAATGCTTTGTTTTTCCATCAAATGTATTCTAACTAGTTGGTTGAATAAAAATATTTGGATTTTATATTTAAAAATGACTAAGTTAGCATCAGGTAGCTAGTTAGCTTGCCAGTTAGCATCAGCTAAGAAAATGTTTCAAATAGGCTATTATAATTTTGTAATTCATAATTATTGATTATATTCTTTTTCATTTTAAGCAAAACTGTCTGTACTCTGATTTTGCTTTAAATGTTTAAAGCAAATTGCTTTGTCGGACTGGGGGCATTTTACCCCATAGGTGGGGTAAAACGCCCCCTTGGTACAAATGTAATTTTTGTTAAAAATCTAATAACATGAAAACTCTGGACATTTTTCATACTTTGTCTAAAATGTATGTCATTGTCACTAAAACTATGATAACTTTTCTGAACACATTTAAAATTACACAGTCCTTAAGGGGGGTGTTTTCCCCCACTCTACCCTACACTTGTCTGATGTGTTGACTGACACACTAAAGCACATGTAAAGTACTTAATAATTTAACTTCGGTGTGTTATTTGAAGTTAATATATTTTAAATGTACTAAATTGCAACTTCATCATTGCAACTATATTAAAATATATGACGCACAAGTTTCAATAGGAATGACTTTAAAGTATATTTTGGTTCACCATGAATGCTTGTCAATACATTCAGCAGTTCACTTTAACCATATTTCAAAGACAATACAAATAATTATGAAATTAATTACATATAAAGATGTACTTGAGTCTTACTTAAGTGGGTCAAAAAGCACTCTAAGTTCAATTTAGTAAATTTAATATAAATTTAAACTATAATACATTTTCATATAATTGTAAATAACATGCAGTTAAAGGGATAGTTCACCCAAAAATGAAAATTCTGTCATTAATTACTCACCCTCATGTCGTTCCAAACCTGTAAGACCTTTGTTCATCTTCGGAACACAAATTAAGATATTTCTGATGGAATCTGAGAGCTCTCTGACCCTCCATAGACAGCAATGCAATTAACACGATCAACGCACAGAAACGTAGCAAGGACATCAGTAAAATAATCCATCCGAACCTCAGGGGTTCAATCGTAATTTTACAAAGCTACGAGAATGCTTTTTGTGCACAAAGAAAACAAAAATAACGACTTTATTCAACAGGATACATTTTCTACATAGTTTACGCTGTGATCTGAACAAAAACAACGTATCCGCATGACGCAGCTGACACAGAGCAGCATACGCTGTTTACGTTCAGTGGATACTCTCCAAAATGGCGCTAGAGTGACGCGGAGGAGACGTTGAATAATTTCGTTATTTTTGTGTTTTCTTTGCGCACAATAAGTAATCTCATATCTTCGTAAAATTACGGTTGAACCCCTGAGGTCACATGGATTATTTTACCGATGTCCTTGCTACATTTCTGTGCGTTGATCGTGTTACTTACATTGCTGTCTATGGAGGGCCAGAGAGCTCTCAGATTCCATCAGAAATATCTTAATTTGTGTTCTGAAGATGAACGAAGGTCTTACAGGTTTGGAACAACATGAGGGTGAGTAATTAATGACAGAATTTTCATTTTTGGGTGAACTATCCCTTTAAGTGTCTGAAAACATTACATTCAGTTCACACATATTTCTATAAAGTTTGTTGTTTCTGTAATAAGTACTTCTTTTTCACAAGGCGTTACTGCTAGCACACATTCTGTGGAGGTGTTTTCCTGACGCGTTTCTCCTGATGTGTGTGTAGGGAACAGCATCCTGCACGAGGCAGCAGACAGCGTTAGCAACGCGGTGCAGAAGGCCAGTCAGGCGCTGAACGAGCGCGGCGAGAGACTGGGACGCGTCGAGGAGAAGACGGGCGAGATGATGAACAGCGCCCAGCATTTTGCCGACACTGCACACAAGGTGAAGTGTGCCACAAGTCTGTCTTTACTCTTAGCCAGTTTCTGCAGACTTTCTGTGAAAACACATTTGTGCTTCTGTGCTGCCTTCATGTGGCGACTGCATGAAAGAGACACAACCGCTGCTCAGAAGTTTGTTTCTGAAAGAAGTCTCTTCTGCATTAATTTGATCAAAAATACAGTAAAAACAGTAATATTTTAAAATATTATTTCAATTTGAAATAATTGCTGTGAATATATAATAAAATGTAATTTATTCCTGGTGACAAAACTGAATTGTCAGCATCATATCTCCAGTCTTCAGTGTCACATGATCTTCAGAAATCATGCTAATATGCTGATTTGCTGCTCAAGAAACATTTCTGATTATTATTAATATTGAAAACAGTTGTGCTGCTTCAAGTTTTTGTGGAAACCATAATAATTTTTTAAACATTAACATAATAACATTAGGCATGTTTTTACTGTCACTTTTGATCAATTAAATGCATCATTGCTATTGATTTTTATAAAGCATAAATTATAATTTTTTTCTTTAATGCATTATCAGGTGAACCAACACATGTATATGAAGCAAGCATGCAAGGGACAGGAGATTATTTAACATGATGTTTTTTTTTTTCAATTTATTAGACATTTCATACTCTATTTGTACAGTAAATTTGCAGTTTGATCTTTAAAAGTCTCTCTCTCTCTCTCTCTCTCTCTCTCTCTCTTTAGCTTGCCATGAAGCACAAGTGTTAAGCCTTTGCCACCTTTGCCATACTTTTGGAGAATCTGGTACAAATTCCTCACCCCTGCTTAACCGCTGCTGTCAGAGAGCGTTACGGGACGTGCATGAATATCATATGAAGAACAGTGTGTATCAACATGGCTGAGGCCTTGAAAAGATCATGCTTCCTCTACACATGGATGGGATACTTGGTCATTGCAAGCTTAAACAAAGCCTTACTCCTGTGTCCTCACTCTGACAGACCTTAATTATAATTTTAAAAGATTCATACAAAAGATTTTAAATAGTTTCAAGGTTCAAATGCCTGCTGATATATGATATCCCTTCTTTTTTGTTTGCTTGTTTTAACCTATTTAGTGTTTGATAAGTGCCATCGTGAAAGAATTTTAGTGCGATTATTAGAAATATATGTATTTTTTTGTAAAAATCCATCTAAAGGGTTTGAAAAAATAGCTTATTCTATTTTAGCATAATCGTTTTTTGTTTTAGTTTTTTTTTGCACACACAAAAAAAAGTATTTTGCTGATTTATTTTTATTACTAATTACATTAATATTACTATTAATGGTGCAGTGACCCACATTTTAAATAATGTAGTTCATCTTAAATTTTGTGTTGGAAAATCTACACAGAAGTGCCCTGAGAAAAGACAAGATTCACACCCTGAGATGTGTTACGCTGCAGTTCAGGAAGGGCTGTGTCTTAACTGGATGTGTGGGATGTGTAAGTTCACGTACAGTGAAAGAATGAGAGGAGACGGTGAGGCGATGCAGCTGCAGCAGTGGGAAATATCACATGGCTATGGTTAAACTTGACTACAAGTGTAGCGTTGATTTTTAAACTGAGCGATTTCTGCGTATCTTCAAGTACCAAACGTCTTTGCAGCAGTTTGATAGCTGTTTGATTTTATTTCTTTATTTTCCCGTACAGCTCACAATACAGATCTGGAACCAGCCAGAGCTACTACAGAAACATGCACTCACACTGCAAATATGTACAACATAAACTGACAGTCTTTTGTCTTAGGGAATATTGCAGGTCTCTGAGGAGCATAAAAAATTAGCTCTTTTTTTCTCAAACTTTACTAAAAATATATGCAGCTATTAAAATAACATGAAACATGTACAAATTGTGTATTGAGGTAATTTCAAGTATTACAATTTTTACAATTTTATCTGGTCAAGTTATTATCTGATGCATTTTAAACAGGTTTTGTCGTGAGAAACCTCTGCCAAAAAAGCATATGGCTTATACTTCTTTATTGTATTTTGCAATGTTATTTTCCCATTTGATTGTTTGCGAATAGATAATGGAAAAAGTGACCAAAGTCTGTATAGTTCTCAGTTTTATGTTTTGCATTTAATAATCAAATTATTCATAATCATTCACAATAAATATACATAATCATATCTGTGCATAGAACCCTGCCTTAAAATTGCATTCAGAACACTGTTTTACTTCTGTCATTTGTAACATGATTTACAGTATAGCTTCTTTTATGTAAAGAGGCATCAGCAGTCATATGGTTTGTTTTATGGATGTTGAGAACAGCTCTGATGTACTGATGTCTGACTGCGTGGCTGGGGAATACTGCCAGAGACTGGCGTCATCGTCAGAGAAAAACAGATGAATTATGAAATTGTCATGTGCATCCCAGGCCTAGATGTTCATGTTTTTCATGTTACGCTTTCATGATGAAAAACAACCCGTTTGCAGTGATCTGGCCACATTTTTGAGAATGTAGAATAGCGTTATCTCAGTCACTAAGTTGTAAGTCTTTTTTTTAAGGGAATATTAAGATATTGTTTAACCTTTAATACAATGTGCCTGTGCTACTGTGTGGTAAATGGAATAATGAATGGTAATAAATGACATTATCATATCTCTGCTCTCGTAAGTACATTTGAAACACTCATTCCGATGCAAGAAGGCATATTTGGGATTATGTGATATCAAAATGTGTGGGCTTTTCCCCAGAAGCTTCTTTATTTTATTTATTATTTTTATGTTATTTTTTTCTTTCTTTCTTTCTTTCGTTCTTATATTTCTTATTTAAACGATTTTTCTCTGTTTCTTGGGTTTCTCAGGAGAACACAAAGGGGGTTGGCTAAGTGCACTGTGAGAGTTTCCCATTGAGGAAGCTCTGCTCCAGCCTGGCCCTTTCCTTGAGGGATGGGAGTCAGGTATCTGCACCTTGTGGTTTGGGTGCTGCATCTGCCGAGGCAGCATGGTGGCTCAAATCATGGGGATTGTGGAGTTTCTCAGAGGAATTTGAGACAGGTGTTTCCATTTATCATGCTTCATCCATTGATATCAAATCTGGCTGTGAATCCACTACTGGCTGTGTCTAGCTCTATGGAGGTGGATGTGGTCAGTGTGGAAGTGGGTGTGTCTGATGCTAGCTCATCCCTATATATGAGGAGCTGCTGGAGGTGGTCACCTAGGCCACAGTCAAACTCAGCTTTGATTGGCCGTTGGGAAAACAGGAAGTGGCTTGTAGTATATTAGATGCAACTTCCTTGTAGGAGCCTTCTGTTACTCCCCGATCTCTGTACTGAGGTGTCGGAAATGTGGTAGAACCTGTACTCGGCTTGCATCGTTAATTATTGCTTCTAATTATTTGAATGTAGATGGGTTGAATAAGCATCAATACATGACGATGCCCCGGGTTGAAGAAACTCTGACTCTTTAGTTATCTCTTATCTAGTTATTTCTCCTCTGGTGTGGAATTGTCTTTGAAGGCTCCAGCATTGCCCTCCAAGCCCTGTAGGGTAACATCCAGCTTGGAGGGCAAAGCTTATGCAGCGGCAGGTCAGGCTTGGGGTCCCTGCATGCCATGGAGGTGTTGCAGGCCTACCAGCCTTGGATGAGGGTGAGGGTGTATCCCTTAAAGTGATAAAAGAACTTCTCCAGGCCACAGATCTGGCTGTCCATGCCACCTGGCATATGGTGCATATCATTGGCTGATCAATGGCCTCTATGGTTGCCACAGAGAGGCATCCGTGGCTAAATTTGTCTGGAACCGAGGAGAAAGACAATGAGGAGTCGGGGGTTGAGGAGGCACACCAAACCCAAGATGGATCTGAGAGCTGTCATTTCAGCTAGAAAGACAAAAAGAAATAGTGGCCTTGATGCCTGCGGGCTCAAGAGTGTGTGCCTCTTGCCTTTCACTCTCCGGAGGGCGGCTTCGACCTAGGGTCCCACACTTGAGGCATGTTGTCATAGTTATCTCAATGGACTCTTCTTTTATGACAAACCTAGTTGACTGTTTAGTTGAAGTATATATCCCTAGGGGCTACCCTTTTTGGGTTACAGGGTTATGTACAGTTGCATTTGTTCCCTAACTATATGGTCTGGCTCGGGCTTTTCAATTGAGGTGTGTTGCTATTGCTGCCATGACTGACACCTCTCCTGTTGGCTGGGTTGTCCAGCCTATGGCTTCTGGGAAGGGTATTTGTAGGGAAATGTTCCTCCCAGACCTGAAATGTTGCCACGTGGTGGCAGTTTTGTATATCAGTGACTGAGGCAGGGCAGTCCCTGTCAGCCTCGGTAATACGCACAAATCAGTTTGTTAAATCCTGATTATGTGGACAGACCTCAACTTTGCTTAAGGTCCCACACCATTTTTATTTTAATTTTATTGACAATGTTATGATGGATGTCTTTCAATTAGGATTTATTTCTAGTGTACTGTATATACCCGCCGAAGCAGGGGCCCAAGGGGAAAGCACCACCTTCGGATGGCGGAGGTATGGCAGAGTGAAAGTAGTCTCTCGACCGAGGTCACTACTTTCAGACAATTATAATCTGGGAACTCCATGACGTAGATGCCCTTTTATGGCCTTGATGATGCGCCACACTCTGTGTGACTGCCAGACAATGAAATTGGCGTTTTCATATATGCTTCAGACACTAGTCACACCGGAGGCATTCCCACAGCGTTAAAATCAGGACGCAGCGTCTCATTACATACACAACACTGAGATGCTTCTTGGGGGTATTCAATACTTTGCCAGATATCTTTTTTTTTCCCGTTTCATTTATTTTTTCATCAACATGTCCCTTTAGGTCAGGGGTGTCAAACTCAATTCCTGGAGGGCCGGAGCCCTGCAGAGTTTAGATTCAACCCTAATTAAACACACCTGATCCAACTAATCAAGTCCTTCAGGCTTATTTGAAAACGACATGGTATGAGTGTTGCAGCAGGGTTGGAAAAAAACTCTGCAGGGCTCCGGCCCTCCAGGAACTGAGTTTGACACCCCTGCTTTAGGTGCTCCATAAAGTTAAGTTTTCATTGTACAAAACTATTTTAGACATTATTTTTTGTTTATTCTATTATAATGATCATACATGCAGTTTATATGACATCATGATAATTGAAAGACTACACTGAATATTTAACAAAATGATGGAAAACAGGTGATCAGTTATAGGACATAAGACTTACAGTTTCCCTTATGCATGCATATCCAATGGACACAATATGTGTCAGCTACCCTTATGTTATGTTGATCCAGATCCCCCTTGTGTTTTGTTGTCTAAAGACTTGTGGTTCTTTTTGCAGAAGAGTTTATTTCTGTACTTCTCTTGTCCCAGTTGTGGAATGACTGCAGCTTTGGACAAAAGTTGCTGTTGTTTTAAGTGAACACTGAAAAGATCTGGCGTCTGAAAAGTCTGACATTTGATTGTTTAAACAGTTATTTAAAAGGCATGACTTTACAGAGAATAATGCTTTTGGACAGATTGTGAAACTAACAGGTACGTATTAGTATTATTAACAATATGTTCCAGATGTGCATCTACATGTATTGAAAGCATTCTTTCAAAAGCAGCTTGGTTGAGAATTGAATTGCACAATGCTGCATCATTCATCTGGGATCTGCTTTCTCAAATCTCAACATCTTACAATAATAGATTTATTGCAAGAAATATTTATCTGTGTTTTTGCAATACATTGTTAGATCATGCCTCCACGCCAGAAATATCAGATCCAACCCCGAACGCCAGATCCTGTCAGAAAATACCCGTTCTGTCTGGTAACAGAACAACTAGCCAGCAAAGTTATCTAATACCCAAAACCCGTTAACAGCAAATCTTGTTTGGTACCCAAAACTGTATTAACAGTCTTCTATCAGCCAAGAAGCTGACTGAGCAAAGCCAGTGAAGAGCGGAAGCAGGAGACAAAGTAATGATGATAAAAAGGGGCAGAGTTTATTGAATAATCTTAGTTGCGTATGTTTCAATGCTCAGACTTTGTCTGACCAGCACAAATCCAACAAGTATTATACCACAAGCAATATCAATGGAAGATTACTGCTTCACAACAACGACCCGTGATGTTAAAACCATTGAAATGGAGACATTCTCTGATCTCTTACTCATGAAAACAAATATCCCTTGAAACACACAATCATGCAACTAAACAACCATGGAAAAATAATGTAAAAAAGAATAACATCATATATAAATGACTAGTTAATTAACGAATCAATGAAATGA